GTGTCCTTGGACTAATTTGCTGTTGCATTCCTTTTCACTATATAAATCTATCTATCTATCTATCTATCTATCTATCTATCTATCTATCTATCTATCTATCTATCTATCTATAGCTAGTGTCCTTGTTTTGTTTCTCTAGGAACCCTGCCTAACACATTGTGGTTTTTATCTGTTTTCGTTGTTAGGTTTTTATTAGGTATATTTTTCTGTCAATAAAATCCAGGGTAGGAAAGCTATAGAGACAGTAACTGGATTAATAGTTTCTTGGGGATATGACAGGGCAGGTTGTGGGAAATAGGGACTAATAACAATTAGTACCAGAAAGAAGAACATGTTCTAAAGTTGTTTCAATTGTACTTAATTTCTTAATATGATTGAACTGCTGTGAGCTGCATGGACTGCAGTTCGAAACCACTGGCAGCTCAGAGGGAGAAAGACGGCGATTTCTACTTCTGTACACAGTTACAGTCTGGGAAGCGCACAGGGGTAACTGTTATGAGTCAGCATTGACTACGGCAATGAGTGAGTTATTGAATTGTATGATATGTGAATTTTATGCCAATAAAACTGTTTTTAAAATGACCAATTCCGGTTATTTTCTCTTCTGGCTCCTTTCCTACCACCCGCCCTTTCCCATGATTACTCAATTCCTGTGCCTACAGCATTGCCCCCCTGAGCTAGTGCCCATTCCTTAACCCAGTTAGTTCCATATTCCCTCCTTGTCAGTTAGTTGAACTTGCTTCACAGCTCCTACATGTTCTTTTCTAGTAACGTCCGTATCAGAGGTACTCACATATTTTTAAAGCCTCTTCAGTGTCTCGTAGCCAAAGCAAACGGGCACCACAGGCATTGCAGAGAAGGTGCTCTGCCTGTCTGGCAAGAAGCCAGGCTGAGAACAGGGGTAAATAACTGATACACCCAGGGAGAAAACTCACCCAGGCCTTGTTGGGTGAAGTGGCTTTCTGTGGGAAGGGAGCTGTCTAGGACACCTTGCTTCGCCTTTGCTGTCCCCAGATGCTGCTAGGAGTCCTTTGGGATGCTATGGACAGGTGGGGCCATATTTGGGCTCTAGTTCTTCCCAGATCTGAGTATCTCTGTCCGGAGACACCCGAGGATTCCCTTTCTCCCCACCAGCTCAGAAGTCCAGTGCCTGGAATCCCTATGATAACTGGATTCCACTGGAGACAGCTTTTCTAGGGAATCCTCAATGGAAGGAACCTCTTTGTTTGACGCCCCCATCACACAGGCCTCTGGGGCACTAGACTCCCTAGGGAGGCAGCAGGGAGGATGAGAAGTCTGTAGAGAGTGGGCTTACTGGAGTGGGATCACTATGTTCTCACTAAACTGCCACCTTCAACAGGGTAGAAGGTTGGCCAAACTCTATGATATCCAAGAAATTAAGGGGGCAGGGCACGGGCAGGAGAAGAGCTAGAGGTAAGGGGATGGTGGAGCAGGCCGATGTGATGCTTTCCTTAGAAAGCCCACTCCCAAAGTTGGCTAGAGTCCTAGCGAATTCTACCAGGTGCTACTAGCAACAGCATTGGACTTGGCCCAACACATTCGGGGAGTGAAGTATGAGCCTAAGCCAGAGAGGGGGGTCCAGGACACCCCTAAGGAACCAAGTCGCCTCTGGGCGAGGCCCGCTACAGTTTTAGAGCCTAGCGCACAAGGACTTTGGTACCAGAGGTGGTGGAGGGAAACTCAGAAGGCCACGGGGAGGCAAAAGGCCTGTGACTGGTCTTCGGCAGCCAAGTGCACCCGCTGCGCACCCTGTCTGGGAAGTTGGAGGGGGTGCTGACGACCCTCCCCTGTTGCCTGCGGGGTCCTTTTCCGAAAGGGGGACTGTCCCCTTTCCAGCCCCGCACAGAAAGATTGTACACGGGGCTCTGTCTACTTCCTCTTTCCTCCCCACGGGAACCTGGCCCACCACGGCAGCCGGCCACCACCAGTTGTCTGCAGGGCAAGGCCCCTGCCCACACCTCCCCGGAGTCAGCGGCCGCGGCGCCCCCCACCAGGAGCCGCGGACCCCGCAGCTGCCGTCATTGCCGGCTGGGAGACCGG